TGAAGGCACTTTAATTTCAGCATTGATATTCATACATCCAACTGATATGAATGCTCTCTAAAATTATTTGTCTTCTCCCCAAATGGATGAGAGTGGGTTTAGTAAAAATTGATGCTGTAAAAGATCTGTGTTCAGAAGTATATATCTATTATATCTTCTAGTTACTGTAAAAGTTGTTTTTACCACTTTAACATGCCATAGATTAAAAATTTTATTGTAAGTTTGTATAATTTTAACTTTATTCAGCTGTTTTTTATTTGATAGTTTGAAAATTATCTTATCTTTTTCATGGCATTCATGGTAATTTGTAGCAGAAATGTTATCTAATGATTAAATAATTTTATTGTTAAATCTATTTCATTCATTTTATTTGTTATTAAAGTTAAGTATTGAACACATTTATGTTGTCATTATTTCTTATTTTGTTTTTTTTTTTCTTCTTCTAAACACACTTTGTTTTTATAAAAACATATTCTTTTGATATGAGGCCTGGGCTGGCTAAGTGGTATAAGGTGATTTTCTCAAAGGATTGCTCATATATATGTTCTCTACCTTTCTGAGTTTAGGTCTTAGCCAATCCAATGTGGGTACATGAGAAAGCCTGCCAATAACTTTTTTGGGGTTAATTATCCTAGATGTTTTTTGGGTTCATCCTGCACCAAAAGTATTAGCTGTTATGTTCTGAAAAATTTCATTAAACTCAACAAAACACCCAAAATTTATTAAAATACAAAATTACTTTTATCACACATGTAGCAAAATACTAAATAAATGTATTCTTTAGTAAATTATGCAAAACAATATAGAATTTTTACATGACTTTTATGGACTATATTTTTCTGGCTGGATTCTAAAATAAATTGGAACTGTTTAACAACAAGCCAATCTTATCTATGAAGGGCCATTTGAAAAATTTGTCATGGGTCATGATCATGGGATCAATCCCCAGCCAAGTCATACAAAAGACTTTTAAAAGTGATACTAACAGCTGCCTCACTTGGAGCTAAGCATTAAGAGGTTAGTATTAGGACTAGTTGGCCTGGTGTCAGGGAAAATGTGTCTGGGTGGGACATCATGCTACATGTCTGAGGCCTGATCCCTCAGTGCTAGACATCACTATAAACTGCCACAATGCATAAATCATTGAAATATGACTGAAAAATTGTTACAGATTTGTTCACAATCCAAATCTCACACACATGCAAACGGTGTAATCAAATTCATATAGGATACTCTCCCTTTATGAGGCAAATCCATCTGCAGCTGAAAGTCACCTAAGAAAGGTGGCCTTTCTATAGATGGATGATACAGTTGTGAGTAATAGTTAAAATATAAAGCAAGAAAGACAACTCATTTGGAAATATATAATATATTTCTGCAAAAAAAAAATTGTTATTGAACAAATGTGATAGAAATTAATTTTGCTATTTAAAAAGAATATGCAGTTGACATGTTCTCTCAGAAGACTAAGTTGTTGCTGTAGGGTTGAATGCTATTTTTCAGCACAAGATATGCTATAAATGATGGCCTGTATAAATGGTGGAGAATGTCTCCAGGAAAACCATGGAAATAATCACCAACCCATAAGAAGACTCAAACCCACACAGACAGGTGAGATGGCATGATCCATAATGGTGAGGGCTTTAGACTACTTTGCCAGAAATCTAAGTACTTATATTTGAATTCAAAACCTCTGTCATTGGCAAGACATTTGATCAATAATTTTTGAGAATTCCTAAGGATGACAAACTTATTCATCTTTTCTTTTGTCTTTCTTGAAAATATCTTGATCAATTGTATCACTGTTAAACTGATTAGCATCTTTCATATGAAATGTCCACTAATGTTGTGAGCTTGTCATGTGCAAGTGAAGCCAAAAAAACTGCCACACTCTTTCTATTATGACGTGAACCTACAATTGCACAGTGATTTGCAATTATCACCTCTGTGCCCCAGGCTGTTAGATTTTAAATTTGGATAATTATTTGTGGTAATGAGTAACAGCATAGAAAAAAAGGAAAGAAAGGAACAGATTTCTATCAGTAATTCCCCATTCCCCAATGTGTCTGCTTTATAGGGGCATATTGGAAATGTTCAACTAATTACTCCTAACAAATGGCATAGACCAAGATATGCATTTACATTATGTTATGACAGATCTTGGTCTGGAGCTGACTTGAAAGTGAGTATGTACAGTATGCTAAATTGACTTGTGTCACAAAATCCTAAACTGATCTGATTATGTTGTCATTGTTGTTGTTCTGGGGCATAACGCCATTTTCAGCACACGATAGGCTATACATGGCGGCCAGTATTAATGGTGGAGGAAGAAACTGGAAAATCTGCGGAAAGAACAAATGACACACAAGAAGAGACTGGCAAGCTTTCTTCCATATCCACATTCGCTGAATCTTAGACTTGATACCACGCAGACAGAGGTGAGATGGCAGTGATCTGTAACAAAGTGTGCTTTAGATCAGTGGTCCCCAACCCTCTGGCCGCAGACCTGTACCGGGCCGTGAATCAAATGGTACCAGGCCGCCCAAGGAACTATTACATTATTTCCATTTTAGATACTGTGGTGTATTGCTCTCAAGGTTTGTGCGACTTGACATAGACGATAGGTTAACCAGGAGCTGAGAGAATTTATCTAAAGCTGCCCATATACCGTGCATGCGCAAAACATCGTTATATCGACGCTATTGTAGGTCACGTCTGGAGATGAGCGGCTTTGGTGGAAAGAAGGCGTGTATCACTCTTCTCTCTGTTCACTGGTACTTGTTTAAGAGTGCTTGGTGTACGCGTATATTGTGTTTGTTCAAATTTAACCCACAAGTTAGCAAACATGAGTACGAAACAGATGTCGTTAGAAAGTTTCCTTGGGAAAAGAAAAGGCTTGTGAAGAGACAAAAGAAGAGTCTTCAGCATCAAATAAACCTAAAACTGTTAACAGACAATGCCATGAGTCCTACTTGAAATATGGATTTGTCGGAACAGGTGATTCCCACACACTAACCCCGCTCTGCATAGTTTGCGGTCACCAGCTCTCTAATGAAGCAATGAAACATTCAAAACTGCTTTGCCACTTGAACGCCAAACACCCTGGATTAAAAGACAAGCCCCTGAATTATTTTGAAGAAAAAAACGGGAACACGAAGTATAGAATAAATATTTGAGGGCCACCACATTAATAAAGGAGAATGCACTGACAGCATCATATTTGGTGGCTAACCATATTGCTAAGGCAAAAAAGCCATTCACTATCGGTGAAGAATTGATCTCGCCCTCCACTAAAGACATTTGCCGTGAACTTCTAGGAGAGGCTGCTGTGGAAAAGATAGCGTATGTGCCTTTGTCGGCTAGCACTGCGACTAGGCGCATTGAGCAAATAGCCGAAGACATGGAGACACAATTGTTGGAGAGGATAAATATATCACCGTGGTACATACTCCAAGTTGACGAATCTACATATATCGACAACTTGTTTATTTGCGATATCTATATCAGGATTTGTTATGTGTTCTATCTTTGCCAACTAACAACACATGAACAAAACTGTTCATGCCACTGGATGATTATATCAGGACAACTAAAATGCTCCTTTTGTTTCGGCATATGTACAGACGGATTTGCTGTCATGACCGGACGACTGTCTGGTTTATCTGCTCGGATTAAAGAAGTTGCACATGAGAATGAATCTACGCATTGTATCATTCACAGGCAAATGCGGACTAGCCGAAAAATGTCACCAGAATTTAACAGCGTGTTGATTGTTGTCGTTAAAGTTATTAACCACATCAAAACCCACGTCCTTAACTTGCACATATTTAAGCAGCTTTGTGAGGAGATGGACGCAGAGCACAGCTGCCTTCTCTTATACACAGAAATAAGATGGTTATCCAGAGAAAAAATGCTAACCAGAGTATTTGAATTACGATAGCCATTGCAAAGATTTCTCTCAGAAAAGAAGTCAACTCTGGCAGCACATTTCAATGACAAAGTATGACTCGCAAAACTAGATTACCTGTAAGACATATTCAGCCTGCTCAATGAACTGAATCAGGGGAAAATGCATTTAAAGCCAAACTGGAGTTGTGCGAACGGTTCGTAAACAGAGGCATTTTGGACATGTTTCAGACCTTAGCAGGGATTTTAGGCGTGACTGAGCCTAAGCATTCATTCTCTCAGTTGGTGCACGATTGCCTGTCTTTGCTTTTAAAAGACTTCGAGTGCTACTTCCCAAAAACAAAAGACCCACGAACTTGTAAGGAAAGGATCTGCGATCCATTTGGCAACAAACGAGGCGAATCTAACATGTCTGTGCAAGAAGAATATCAACTGCTGGAGATTGCAAATGACGGCCGCCTTAAAACTACGTTCGAGACAACAATTCTGCCGGTGGTCTGGATTAAAATCATGGCGGAATACCCTGAGATAGCCACCACAGCACTTAAATCCCTATTGCCATTTCCGACATCCTATCTGTGTGAAGCAGGTATTCTGCAGTGACAGCAACCACAACGAAACAACGGAATAAACTGGACATAAGCATAACACTTTGTCTCCTATTACCCCCCAGATGGAACCATCTCGTTGCAAAGAAAGAAGTCAGGGTTCTGATTGATTTAGCTTTCTAGTGAGTTAAAATGTTAAATTACTGTATATTCAATTTTTGGTGTACCTAATTTATTTTGAAAGCATGCTTAAATACAATTAAATTAAAATTATTATATCAATACAATTTAAAATATAAACAATCAACATCCCCACACTCAGCGGGCCGTGGTAAAATTAACAAACTTTGACCGGTCCGCGGCGATAAAAAGGTTGGGGACCACTGCTTTAGATCACTCTACCAATCGGAGCCTCTGATTATGTATGAAGCCAGTTTGAATATGATAGAACAACTGTAATTTTCTTAAGAATAATATTGATTCATTTTAGATTTAGTGCTACTTGGTTATCCTGAAACTTTTTCAGAAAACATCAATTCAATGTTAGACTGCTCTGGTGGTCTAGTGGTTAGAGCATCCAACTCAGATGCGGGAGGTTGCAGGTTTGAACCCTGTCCGAGTCATACCAAAGAATGGTACTAAAAGCTGCCTCACAAAGCACTCTGCTTTTAAAGATTAGTGTTAGGATTTGTGAGCCTGGTATTTGGATATTGCGACTAAGTGAGACATCATGCTAAATGTCTGCAAGACATCGCTGTAAACTGCAACACTGCAGACATTACTGAAAACTTGTTAAAGCTACATTAAAAATCTAAAACACACTAAATTTTATATTATCATTGGTTAATTTGTAACACATTGTTTTCTTTTTACCACTGGATAGAGTAAGGTTATGGTTTGATCATATGTCTTTATGTCTCTCATGCAGTATCTGTCCAAAACATTTGAGTTTTCAACTGCGTACAAATTATTAAACCCTTATCAACCAATCTTACACAGGGCATCCTTGTATGTGGATATTTTTGTTGTACTTGACCACCTAAAAAGTAGTTGGCCATTGATGCTTTAAAAGAACACTCTAGGCTACTAACAACAAACCCAGACTTATGTCTAGTTGTGTTACAGATACGTCTGAGAAGTTGAAGAAAGTGGACAGAATGCATTCTTGTCTAAAATTCTTTAAAGTTTGTAAAGAAGTTGATGATATGTGACTTAATTGTAGTTGAAGTTCCTAGGAAAATAGTCTCTTCAAAACCAGTTGCACAAAAGAGGGTCTTTTTTGGATTGGCAGATAGCCTTATTTGATAAACTTCAGATGTGATGATGTGCTATTACACATCTATTCACCCATCATGTCATCCATCCATCAGTCAGTTAATCTGTTTTTATCAGAAAGTATTCTGTCATCAATGCCTTTGATATTTAACATCATTGAGTATTGCCACTATTATTGAAATAGAAAGCCTGTCTCCGTTATTGAAACAGAAAACCAGTCTACATGTTACTTAGAGCATGCTGACAGGAAGATCAGTCAATTTACTTACAAATGACTATAATGCTCCAGTAAGTACAAAAAAAGGAAATATCTATAAATTACTTGTTTTGAACAGATCGACAGAATTTGACTAACAGGTCAACAGTATTTGACTAAAATAAAGCCTCATTGCATCAAGTTCTTTATTTTTTTTAAAACTGGGTTTGAAGTATTATCAAATAAACCTTCTATAAAAGCATCCCCCCCAAAAAAAAATATATGAAACAGCTTTTTAGAAATTAGTTTAATATGAGAGAATTTGTCATCAATGTGTTTTATTTCAATAAATGATATCAATATACCATCACAAATAGTTGCAGTTACTAAATGGAAAGGGAGCATTTTTTTAGCCAAACAAGTATTACTAAACTGCATTAGACCAAATCTGATAGAATTACTATGACATCACAGCCTTGAACTTGTACACAACCAATGCTGATTTATCAAATAACAACTACTTTTATAAACTAGAAAACCCTTAACTCACAGACTTTATATTATTTTCAGTTTGTTTTATAATGTTCAAGGTTGATCTGTTTAAAAACATGTAACATTTAATTTTTGTAATCTCAAAAGGTGACATTATGCTCAGAGCATTATCTGCCTTGACCTGGTCATGGCAATTTTACCTAAATAATATATATATTTTAAGAAACATTACGATTACAGTCTATGGGAAATTAATCAGTTTGCCCCATAGACAATTCAGCTTTTTAAAGGCTGTCATGGCAAACAGCTTGACATCAGCCACCCTCTTGGATTTATTTTTAATTTACAATTATAAAAAAAAATTAGGCTTCACTTAGAGAATCAATGTTATTAAATAATACTACTGGATATATCCAGTATATAAAACCTTGTGTGCCATTAAGCTTCCTTGAAAGGATCATTTTATGATAACTCATAACAAAATGACTGAATTTCCCCTTGATCATGGAAATTAAAACTGCCACACCTTTGTCTTGATAAACTTTGCACCAGTCCTGCTCATCTAACTCTAGAAGAGAATGTCACCACTGCAAAAGACAAGGCCACTATAATAAATATTAAGAAGTATTTTGAAGTTTTATTTCATATGCATGTTTTTCCTTTTAATAGGTTTTACCAACATAATATATTCACCTGACTTATTAGCATCATTATGCAACATGGACCTTTGGAATATTTATAATGTTCTAGATGTTTCTTGAAGAGTCTCAATAGAAATGTTAACACTTTTGAAAACTATTGTTTGTTTCAAGTGTCTTTATCACAGCACATTTTTCCTAATGTTGCTGAAAAAAACCTGATCCAGGTTAAATGTTTAAAAGCTTATCTTGCTGCACGGCACAGCTTGCGAAAGGATTGGCCCTTACTCATTATTTTTTGAGTGGACTGCACTATGTGCCCTGCTCTGAAAACGTCTGAAGAACACTTTAATTCTTGTTGAATTGTTACTGATGGTTCAATTTACTAATTCAACCTTTTGAGTGGTTAACCTTGTTACTTGTTATTTGACCAGTGTTTTACTGTGTGCACATGTCAATAAGAAATTCATCATTGCTTGTTGAAGGTATCACTGTATGCATTTATCAATTAGACATTAGTGTTTGCCCAAGGCAGTACTTTATGCAATTGTCAATACAAAACTCCTCATTGTCCAGGGGCAGTACTGTGCACAAGAAATTCATCATTGTTTGTTTATAATTACATTGTTTGCACATATCAATCAAACACTTATTCTGAGATCCAATTTTAGTTTGAACATGGAGGGTAAAAAAAAAATACTACATGTAACCAATTGAAATTTTTCCCCAGAGCAAATGAATGATTTTTTATGGCATTGGGAATGATTACCTCAGTAGCACATGACATGTATTATATTTATATGTATTATAATTATGGTAGAAAAAGACATTGTAAAAACCATTTTTTCACCAATATATTCAACTTCAAAATTAAACTCTGTATGGCACTTTCTACTTAGGTCTACATCAAATTTCGTTTTCATTTTTTTTTTTCTTCTCTAACATGGTATACCCATGTATGATTTTAGTTGAGTGGATTTCTGAATTATCTACCTTGAATCACTGCATGAAATATTGTCATTAATCTAATCTTGTGTACTATATATTCTACCTCATATGGAATTTAAACTTGAAATATTGGATTCATGTTACTTGTCGATAATTACAATGCCTTATGCATCTATATGTACATAAGTTTTTCATGTTAAGAAGCATCAATCTAATATAATTTGTTTGACAATTATAGTGATTGGAAAATTCATATCTCAGTACTTTCTAAATGTTCTCATCGTAACCCAGCATCAGTCAGTTGAGATTTATCATTTAACAGCAGCTGAGAGCTTTGATATAGCTGGTTTCAGATAAGGCTAGAGAGCTGATTTAATCTCATATTATTATGTCATGGATTAAACTTAAGTATCATGACAAGGTGAACCCAACAAGAATAAAATCTACCAAGATACTGATTTACTTAAATAAAATATAACATCAAGCAAAGTGAGAGTATTAAACATAGCTCAACTGTAATTTAAGTATTCCAAATGAAAGTTCTAATGCACTTATTTTCTTTATGCTAGCACCACTGAAAAATTACAGATCTATATCTAAATCCAGATGTTGTTACTTCCCTTGAATGAAACATTTCGTCGAAGTACTGAGAGTTGTGCATAAGACAAAAAAATATTTTAAATATCCAAGTCATTGAACCAATTCTCATAATCATATAGGTACTTACTGTTAATTAAAGATTTTCCACTCTACTAAATCAAACATTAACAAATAAATAAATATTTCTTCTCAACATCTCTTACAGGATTATCGTAAAGAGAGAGAGAGACAGAGAGAGAGAGAGAGAGAGAGAGAGAGAGAGAGAGAGAGAGAGAGAGAGAGAGAGAGAGAGAGAGAGAGAGAGAGAGAGAGTGGGGTGTTGTTAAACTTTTAATGAAGTCTCAAAAATGTTTCAGTCGAATCACTACATTGTATGCAGTGTCACAGTTTATAGTGAAGCCTAACATTGGAGCATGATGCACCACTGCATGATGCAGCAGACATGTAGCATGATGGCCCACCCAGTCACATTGTCTTGACACCAGGCCGACCAGACCTAATACTAGCCTCTTAATAATGAGCGCCAAAGAAGCATCTATTAGAACCATTTTTACAAGTAACTGGTGTGACTTTGCTGGTGTTCGAAACTCGCGAACTCCTTTATCCGAGATGGATGCTCTAACCACTATGGACTCTGAAAAGAATGTCAAATAGATTCCTTAACAGAAAACAACAACTAAACACAATTAGCTGCTCCTTTTCACGTATCTGGATGACATAAATTGTAAACAAAATATACACAAAGTAAAGTAAAACAAACAAAACAACAACAGCAAATGTAGGAAACCTTCTACCAAGCTATCATATGTAAGTGTCCTCAAAACAATAACTTGTTTAAAACTTGTGGACCACTTAACGATGTTTCATTGGCTAAACTATGAATTTCCTTGTGATGCCAAGTACAAACAACAATTTAATATCTAAATGCCTACTCATCATCAGCAGATATCTTAGGTTTCTTCCATTTCCTCATAAGGACCACATTCCGCAGATGTTACAGTTCCTTCCTGTGTTGTTTCAGTTTCACTAATAACCCTCTGAAACATATTTCTGAATCTTCTTTCTGTAGCGATTAGATTTAAGAGAATGTGTTGCCGAAAGGATATCACTACGGCCGATACTTCTTGATTGATCTAAACGAGAAGAAAACGTGACCTAATTAAAAGAGTGACCCCAAACTGTGTCCGTAAAGGAATGTTTTCTTAGTTAAAATCATTATTCTCAAGCTTTGCCATAGATCTAGAGACTGTGCAGACTGGATACAAACCAGGGAATTTTACATAGATGGGGTAAACTTGTCGATCCATACAAGGCTTGTTAGTTACAAGCACATTAGACTATATAATACATGTTCTTCAGCAAGGTCATTACCTAGTTACAAATGAATTCCATGAATATGGAAGGAAGTCACAAGTTCAGTGTTCAGTAGTCTCCAAACTATTTCTGATGAAAAGGTAACAAAATGCAGAGGGAT